TGTATCCACTTCATTGTCATGGTATTGTTAACAAACTATCAGATAATTTAATAAATGTATATTTTTAAAAAATAAATAAATTGGATTCAAACATGGTAGACCATAATAAACTAAAATAAATATATAAAGAAATTATAGCCGTCTAGAGAGTTGACTTGAAGTCAACTCTCTTCATACTGCAATATTTTTACATTTTTAAATATATATTTAATTAACCTTAAAGTTATTTCATTATTGAAAATTGAAAAAAAAATAAAAAAATACCATTCAATATTTAAAAGGTGTGTTATTTTTGTGGTCTTGGTGTTTCAGTTTTTTTTTTATATATATATATATTTATTTATTAGAATAATTTTTGGATTTAATGTTTTATACAAAAATTAAGTAGTTATTTTTACGAGAAAATATTATATTATTAGGCTATGTTTTTTATACTTTTTTCAAACAAAATTAATCTTATTTCCTACTCTTAATTGAAATTTTTCTATTTTTAAGCATGAAAAATTAAGTTTTATTTGTACATAGATCTTGTATTGGTGGTCAATTTTAAATTTAGAGTTTAATAATGGTTAATATATGAGAACAATAATATAGTTGAGGTGCTCTTTTTTTAAGTTTTAATTTTTGTTGTTTTTCTATGAAATTGTGGTTATATGAATATGATAGTTTTTTAAAAGAAAAATAAACAATTGAATTATATAAAAATATATATATATATATAAAAGTATATCACTATGAGAAAAAATCATTTTTGTAATTATATTTATTTTTTTTAAAAGTATTGTGTAATTTTATTTTTTAGAAAGTAATATAATTTTATTTGTAAAAAGTAAATATGTAATTTTATATTTTAAAAAGTATTGTGTAATTTTATTTTTTGCAAAGTCATCTGTAATTTATTTTTTGAAAAGTATTGTGCAAATTTATTTTTTAGAAAGTAATCTATAATTTTTAAAAAGTAATATGTAATTTTTTTTGTTTTAGAAAGTAATGTGTAGTTTCATTTTTAAAAAAGTAATAGAGAGTATAATTTTTTTGAAAAGTATTGTTTAATTTTATTTTTTAGAAGGTAATCTATAATTATTTTGTGTATTTTTTTCCGTAAAAAATTATATATACTATTTATGCATGTATGTTAATAATTATTAAAAATATGTATTTGTATTTAAATCAAATATGTATTATATATTATTTGGTGATAGCATAAAAAAATATGTTTGAATGTAATTTATAAATATATATACAATAATATAGTAGAAGAATATATAAGAAATATACTTTTTAAAATATATTTAAAAATTATGATTAAAACCAAATAGTGTAAATCAATTGTATTTTTAGAATAATAAATTAAAGAATTATCTTCTTCTTTTTTTTTAATATCTTTTAACACATGTTCTGATACTTTGTAGATCTATAGTACAACTATTAAATTCAACATTGAAATTTTAAAATAAAATAATTATCCTAAAGAACAAGAAAAAGAAATAATAAAAAATAGAGTCAACATAATAAATTTAAATTAATGGTTAGATGAAGAAATTGTTGTCCATATGAAACATGCAGTTCAATTAAAGAAAATAATGCTTTAAGCATGCCACTATATTACTTTATTTATTTATAATTATCTAACCACAACTCTCATAATATATATTACTGTAACAGACAGGTCCATCTCTTTGACAAAAATTTCTTAAATTTTATTATATGAACTCTATATATATATATATATATATATATATTTTATAAAATATCAATAAAATATTTTTTAAATATAAAATTCAAATTTAATCTTCTTTACTCAAACCCAAGTAAATACACCCATACTATCTTCTTCTTTTTTATTATTATTATTATTATTATTATTATTATTTCATTCATCTGAAAGTATCACTTCTAAGTTTTTTTTTTTTTTTTTTTTTTGTTCTTCTTAACAGTATCTATATTTTGTTACAGTAAAAGTAATGATAAATTAATATTAAAATATTTTTAAATTTATTTACAAATATATCATTACAAATACAATTCGTTTATACATCAAATACAAAAAGCAACTATCAAAATCATTTTACACACTTTAATTAACTAATAAAATATTACTCCCTCCGTCCAAAGTAATAGTCTAATTTGTTATTTTTGTTCGTTTCAAAACAATAGTCTCATTTTTTTTCTTATAACTACCTCCCCACTCTTTTACATAACTATCTCCACATTTTTACAATAATTACATAAAATAGGAACATGTTGATCTTTTAGAAACACTTTTACACCAATTGTCAATATAATATTATTATTCTTTAATTCTCGTGTTTATCTCAAATGTTCATATTATTTTGGGACGGAGGAAGTATTATTTTGAAATTTATTATAAAACTTCAAATGACCCGTTTGGATTGAGACGGAGAGAGTATAAAATTATTATTTTTTTCGGTTTAAAATATCTTATCAAATACTATTTTTTTTAATAGTATATCAAGCAATTACTACTTTCTCTGTTCACCAAAATTATATAATTGTTTTTTTGTTGTCCGTGTTAAACTTATGTACAATTTATTTATAATAAATAACTTTATTTATTCATAATTTTATTATTCTTATTTTAACGAATAATAACTATTTCGCATTTGGTTTTATTTACCCCACTATTTTGGCACTATTTTTATCACTTATTTAATAAATTTTTTTATAGCATTCGCATTTTTTTTGTTTATCTATCTCACTTTAATATTCAAATATATATACTTTTATTTCTTAAGCTCAATATCCAACCAAATATATATAATTTTACTGAAAAAAAGAAGAAAATATATGCCTTAAAATTTTTAGTATTGTCATACACACCACAAGATTCCAAATTACAGCCAAACTCACTTCATATTTTTAACAAAAATAAAAATTTAAAAATTTAAAAAAAAAAACAAAAAACAAAAACAAAAATTAATGGAGCAAACTGCAAGGGACCAATCACAAATTATAAGAGTTGAGGGCCAGGTGGCACCATAATTATGCAAAATTTGTCATTATTGTACGTACAATTTCATTAACGAATCTTTTGTTCTGTTGATCGAATCCAATTTTTGAATTTTTTTTTTTTTTTTTATATAATACTCCATCCGTCTCAAAAGTGTATTATTGAGAGTTGATACGAGAATTAAAAAATAATAGTATTTAATAAAGTAAAATATAAATAATTAAAATGCCTTTGTTTTTTTGAAAGATTTTAAAGATTACGTTAGAATAATAATTAAGGGTAATATGAAAAATTAGAAATAATTTTGTTATGAAGTGGGAACCACGGCTATTAAATAAAAAAATAAGACAATTGCTTTGGGACGGACGAAAATAGAAAAATAAGACAAATTTTTTGGGACGGGAAAGTAATAAATAATATAAAATAATTTTTATAAAAAATTAAAAAATAAAAAAAATTCAAATACTCATTACTAAAAATCAAAAGTTGAATATTAAGTTTTCATTAAATGTTTGGTGAACAGAACTTTTTTTTACTGCATTTGGTTTTTTTTTTTTGAAATTTAAATTTAAATAATACTTATTATATTTTACAAAATAAATAATATATTTTATTAAAAATATATAAATCGAATATTATTGATTTTGTTTTGTGCCAAACCAAACTCACCATTTATTTATTTATTATTATTATTATTATCATTATTAATTAGTTAGAGGTTTTTACTATTTGATAATTTTTTAAAGAAGTATTAGACCTGATTCATATTGCTTTATGAAAAATATAGTAGAAACAAATGTCAAGAACGGAACAAATTAAATCTGAGATGAGTCGGTTCGAAAATAAAATTACTAACGGTCGAATCAACGATAACGATGTGGGGGCGGTTGAACTCCGATGACTTCCTGTCAACAGCACGGCAAAAAATTTGTCGGGTGAGAGGCGATCGAAAGAATTTGAGGGATGTGAATTTAAGGAGAATGAAGAAGAATTGAAGTAGGTTAATTCTTGTTAAATTTTTTCTATTCTGATTTTTTATTTTTTAATTGTTATAAATATCAATAATTTGTACATTAATTATGTTGTATGGAAATTAATAATATCGAAAACATACTATAGAATATTGTAATAATATATGGTAAGAAAAATTATTTTAAGTATGTTAGTATAATAAATATTTTGTAAATAATTATTATTTATTTTTCTAAAATAAATTCTTAAATTGAGGTTAGATTTTTGTAATTAATCTTAATATTTTAAAAAGTTATTAACGACAAATAATTTTAAAAAAATTTATCATCATATTGAAGTATATATCATTTTTACATTCTTCATATCATTCATGTAATTTTAGATAACATATCATATTGTTACCTTGTTGGGAGTATATATTTGTTTTGCACATGTCGGTTAAAATTTGATCTATCAGATTTTCATAACATAACATAATTAATGTTATTGATTTCTTTAATTAAAAAACCATAATAATAATTTTAATACAATACTTGAATTATCTTCGATCATTATAAGCTACAAGATTATAAAATAAAACGATATAACGGTAGAGATTAATTCAGCATGATGATACTGAATACATGCTCAACACTGTACCAACTGCTATATTTAGCTATTGCAGAATGTAAGATTAATTACCACCTCATTATAAACACACATATATTTAATAGTTATTATTTCTATTTGAATACTTAATTCTTTTGAAGGAAAGTTAGTGAAAAAGCTAAAGATATTTTAGAAAGAAATTTACATTGAATACCAATAATGTTATACTAAAATGTGGTGAATTATTTTCATAATAAAGATGTCCATATGTTCATATTCATTGAATTTTATAATATATGTAACTATTTATAAATTGTGTTTTATTTTGATTTTTCTAATTTTTTTTCTAAAAATGGTTGTTAAATTTAAACTGAAACGTTTTTATTAAAAAAATAGATTACATATTTAAAAAATACATTCAAAATTTGAAGAAAAAATTAATACAATATAATGCCATAAATTCACCTAATTTACTAATTTATTTATTAGTATTAGTAAGCAATAATGATAAGAAGTTGAAAGGGGGTAGGTGTGAGTACGACCAAAACCAATCTTGTTGCACAATGCAATGCAATCCCCTGAGATGGTCCGGCCCTTCGAGTCCTGGCCCTTCCAATTAATTCACTCCCTCCCCCTTTCTTCTTCATCTATATATTCCCCCATCCCTAATTATTCGCCTGTCAGCTTCCACCTCTCACTCCTCCGACCGCCGGAATTCCGCCATTGTTGGTTATTCCTTTTTTTTTTAAATCATGCAATCTATGCTTCATTCTACAACCCGATTTGCGCCGGCGCCCGACCCGGGTCGGATCACCCGCCGCTCCGATCCGGTTCCGAATCGGGTCGTAATCCAGTGCGCCTCCCGCCTGCGTAACTGCTGCGCCGCCGTCGCGAGGACCCGCCACGAGTGGCAGAGCGCCTGCGCTATTCTCTCCGGCAAAGTCGCTCTACAGCAGCAGGAAAACGAGAATACCGCCGTCGAAGCTTCCGGCGCCGGCGACGGCGCCGGAAGTAACGGCCATCCCGGACTGAACATCGTTCCGGTCAACTTGACCGACGCTCCGGCGGCGCTCCCCAAGCCGTTGAGCTTCACCGACCTCTGCCCGGCGCCGATGCACGGATCCAAGCTCCGCGTCGCTTACCAGGGACTCCCCGGCGCCTACAGCGAATCCGCCGCCGGAAAAGCTTACCCTGACTGCGAAGCCATCCCCTGCGACCAATTCGAAGTGGCGTTCCAGGCGGTGGAGCTCTGGATCGCCGACAGAGCCGTCCTCCCGGTGGAAAACTCCCTCGGCGGCTCCATCCACCGGAATTACGACCTCCTCCTCCGCCACCGCCTCCACATCGTCGGCGAGGTCCAGCTCCCCGTCCACCACTGCCTCCTGGCGCTCCCCGGCGTCCGGAAAGACTTTCTCCGGCGAGTCATAAGCCATCCTCAGGCGCTCTCCCAATGCGAGCACACGCTCACAAAACTGGGGGTGAATCTCGCCCGCGAAGCCGTGGACGACACCGCCGGCGCCGCCGAGTACATCGCCGCCAACAACCTCCGCGACACGGCGGCGATCGCCTCCGCCCGGGCCGCCGAGCTGTACGGTCTAAAAATCCTAGCCGACGGTATCCAGGACGACTCGAGTAACGTGACCCGGTTCGTTATGCTGGCCCGCGAACCGATAATCCCCCGGACCGACCGGCCCTTCAAAACCAGCATCGTCTTCGCCCACGACGAGGGCACAGGCGTCCTTTTCAAGGTCCTGGCGGCCTTCGCCTTTCGCAACATCAGCCTCACGAAGATCGAGTCGCGGCCGCATCGCAACCGTCCGATCAGACTGGTCGACGACGCCAATCGCGGCACGGCCAAGCATTTCGAGTACTTATTCTACGTCGATTTTGAGGCGTCGATGGCGGAATCGACGGCTCAGAATGCTTTGGCTGAGATTCAGGAGTTTACTTCCTTCCTCAGAGTTTTGGGGAGCTATCCAATGGACATGACGCCATGGACGCCGCCGCCGGCACCGACCTCCGCGCTGGAATGACGCTTTTGCCCTCTTGCTGCTTATTTGGAATTAGTTATAAGATTGGGGTGGTTTTTGCAAAATTTTCCAATCTGTATATTTGAAATTTCGGGAAAAAAACGTCGAATTATCTGGACATGTGAATATAAGGAGATTGGTGGATTAAACGTGGGCTCTGATAGGTGAATGAATTTATTATTATTATTTTTTTATTTTTTATTTATTTTTTATTTTATAATGTGAGAATCTGCCGCCACTATCAAAAGTGCGGGCATTGGGTAAATTCCGATCAGATCTAATATCCTATAAACTAGACCCGACAGACAAGTCACAATAGACGAGTATGATGATGAATTTATTATTGCCTGCACGGTTTGTTTATTTGTTTGTTTTTATTTTAGAGATTTGTGTGATTTTTTAATTTTTTTTTTTTAAAAAAACATTACTACTAGTATTTAGATATTTATGTCTAAATTATTTTTACCAATAGGAGATAAATATTTTTTAATTAAACAAAAAAAAAACGATAAAAGAATAACTAAAGAAATAGTTTTAGTTGAGAGAAAATAAATTCTTTTAATTACATTAAATATATATTTTTTATTTTTACAAAATATTTAAATATATTTAATTTTTTACTTTTAAAAAATTTTCAAATAGGTGTGCGTGTGGTTTTTTTTTTTAGATTTATCTTTCAAACTTTATTATTTTGGTTTTTGCATTTTATGAAAAAAATATATATATATCATATTACATATTATTTGAATACAAAATTAAATACATTTTTGTGTTTGTTTTGGGGGTTTGAATTTTAGATTTAAGATTTGAATGAGAAAAGAATTAAATTGAAATAATTGTATAATATAATATTAATAAGTATTTTTATGATGTTTTGAATGAAAATTTAAATTTTAGTATACTATTAAAAAAAATAAAAAAATGCAATATGTGTTTGATTCTAAATTTTTTTAAAAAAATATTGATAAATAATAAAATCTTCGTCAAATCTTCAAAAAAAAAAAAACATATAAATTTCCATTACATTTATCTACAAGGAAGCTAGATAATGGTTAGTACTTTTATGGAAATAGTGAGCTCTGATAGGCGAATGTATTTATTATTGATTTAAGAGAGTTTGTTTATTTCTATTTGATTTTTATTTTTTTTGAATGTTGTGCCTTCTTTTTAATCGTTTATTTTATTATTATTAAAATACTCCCTCCGTCCCAAATACCGTATCTGCTATACTGTAGACACAGTATTTTAGCAATGGTGTAATTAGTAGATAATTAAGAATGTATTAGTGAAAATAATTATTTTATAATATAAATAATTATAAATTAAGATTAAGATAACTAATTAATTTAATTAAAATTAAAAAAATTAAAATTAAAAAATTTAAAATGAGATTAAAGTGTGTAATCATTTTCCAAAAAAAAAAAGTGACATGGTATGTGGGACGGACAGAAATAGCAACATGGACATGGTATTTGGGACGGAGGGAGTAGTATTTAAATATTTTAATGAAAATTGTTTCTTGAATTGTATATATTTGTACGACAAAAAAGGAATTAAAGTTATGAATAAAGAAACAAACATGCATATCTACAGATGGTCACCAATCCAATAATAGGAAATATTGAAATAATTGTTTACTCGAGTGCAGCAACCAATTCAATGATAAAAACTCTGTTTATATGTAAGTTGTTAAAGTTTTTAAAATAATAATAATAAAAAATGTATATTTAATGTAATATTTTATAAAAAAAAAAAAAAAAAAAAGTTTAACATTGATGTTTTTAAAATAGATCAAATATGTTTGTTTGGGGGATTTGATTGGAATTACACGATTCATCTAATTTTTTTTCTCCCAAAAATATCAAATCGAACACCTATTTTTTATTTTTTATATTATACTAAAAATCAATTTTATATTCAAAACATCACATCAACACCTATTTATATCACATTATACAACTATTCAAATTCAAAATTTTTACTATTCAAATTTCAACTCAAAATCCAAACCTCCAAACAAACACACTAATAATATATACTTTTCTCCTTCCATTTTAAGAGTATATATTTACTTTTAACTTAAAATTTAAAAAATAATAATATTTTAATCATATTGATTAGTTAAAAATAGTATAAAAATAATTATCATTGTTTTTTTGATGTAAAAATAATAATAATAATAAAATATGAGTATTTGTAAAAAAAGAATAGGGATTATAACTATTAAAAAATATTGATACTTTGTAATTGAAAATTTTAAAATAAAAAATTATATACTTTGTGAATTGACAAAAACGTTACAATCAAAACAAAAGTAAAAGGTTTATGCATTAATATTTTTAAATGGTCAGCTTAAAAATATATATATATATAAATATATTTGAACTCGTGATTTTATAATCATAAATTTATTTTAGACCATCTTCAATCCAGTACCATTAATAAAGCTAAATTGGTTGATTTACATCGATCTGTTTCAACCGACGTCATATTTTATGCTAGGTCGGTTGATTAACAATACCAATAATGTTACATTTATTTACAATTATACCATTATTTTTTTAGTATGAATATAAACATCTTTATATAATTAAATAATAATAATATTTTTAAAAAAATGTAAGTGTGGAAAATAAATATTCATTTAAAAAGTGAACGGATAAAGTATTTTTTAGAAAAAAAAGATATAAATAAATACTAAAGGCCATACAACCAATACTTAACAAGACAACCAACAAACATTTGTATTTGAATTGAAAATTTTGAATCATTTCTAATAACTTTAATAAATCGTCTCCATCCTACATAAAATTGTTTTTTTTTTTTTTTTTTTCATTTCACATAATTTATCATTTGTTTTTTTTAAAATATAATTACATATTTTAATCTTATTTTAAATTTGATAATTTATAAATTTCTTGATTTTAATTTAATTATTTAGTTATCTTAATTTTAATATATAATTATTTTTATTATATAATAATAATTGTACTAATATAGTACTTAATTATTTACTGATTATATTTTATTTAAATTATCATATCTATAGTAACATGAACATTTTATCTGAAATGGAGGGAGTATAATTTAAATGTATTTGATTGTTTTTTAATTTAAAATGGCAACATAATCATTTTAAATTAAAACATAAAAGAGTTTGTTTGATTAAGTTTTAAATTAATTTTTTTTACCATTAATTTTATACGGCTCTAATAAAAATATAATATTTTTAATAAAATATTTATATTAAAATATTATTTAAATAAAAAATTAAAGTAATTTTTTATATAATATTTTTTTAAAAAAAAAATTGATGCATTCAGAAAAAATAAACGTAGAAGCATGAATTTAAAAATAACAAAAATAAAAAATTTCATCCATATGCATACCGAAATTCTTCGGTATATTAAAAAAAATATGACATATATATTAAGACATATTTACTTTACTCATTCTCACTCATTTGGGCACTATTCATTTTTCAAAATATATTTTTTATTTTATAAAACATCACATCAAATATAATTTTTTTTTTTAAACTTTCAAAATTCTAAAATCTCTAGAAACCTATATCTAAACAAAGTCTCATCGGTGACATTTGTTTGTTCTTTTTAACTATTTTTATCAGGATGCGATTATTAATATATATAATCTTATATTTTATCATCTGATAAAAAATTAATATTAAAATAAAACACTCCATATTTTAAACTAAAATAGTTAATAAACCAATACTATATATTTTAACAAAAGATTACATAATTACCTTTTTTATGTTAAAATGTTATATTAAATATATATATCATCGAAATTTTGATTAAACAATATTTTATAAAATAAACCAAAATATTTTTATTAATAACCATACAATCTTAACCGTAACAAAAGAAATTTCAAATAAAAAAATATCATCAAAACCTTCAAAAATTACTATTTAGACAAGAGACTTGAAAGATTCAAAGTTTTGAAAAATTTGTAAATAATAAAAATATGTGATCTAGTGTTTTATAAAATATATATATTTAGTGTGATATTTTTTTAAAAAATAAATAAGGAAAAAATTTAAAAGATATTGGGCATCGGAGTCAAAATATCTAAATAGAATCTAAAGTTCGTAATACTCTCTCTGTCCCTTAACAATCTATTCATTTTTCCATTTTCGTCCGTCCTATAACAAAATATTCATTTTTTGTTTTTAGTAACTGTACTATCTATCTAACATAACAAATACCCTTCCAACTTACAATATATTACACAAATGTCATTACTTTTATATCATACAATACTAGTAAGGGCAATTTAGTCTTTTTTTTATTTTTATTTCTACTACATTCCAATACAATTCTAATATTTTTAAAACTTCGTGCAAAAAGTAAATGGATATATAAATGCGAGACGGAGGGAGTATAATTTTAAATTTTAGTAAATACTAACATAGAGTAATAAATTGGGTTAGGCTTGATTATTCGAGATATAAAATCAAATCCAAATAGAACCTAACAAAATACATACTCTATAGTGACAATTCATACACAACTTTTCAATTAATACAAACTTGGGTTCTATGGGATTTTTTTTTTTTTTTTTTTTTTTAACAAAGTATGATATTAAAATAAGAGTAAATTGTACGATATACTTTTATATTTTAATATAAATGCACAAAATTATTTGTATTTTATTTATTGTATAATAAAATAATTTTATTCAAAATTGACGTTTAATTGTAAAGACACACCTATTATATAAATTTTATATAAAAAAAAAAATATCTTAAACAGTTTTATTTGATGGTTTATAATAGTTAAGAAACAATAGTATTTATATTTATAATTTAGGTAATTTTAAAATATTTTGGATTAATGTATGATTTTTTTTACTAAAATAAAAAAATAATATTTTTAAATGAAATACATGAAAACGATAAAAAAGAAAAAAAAAAACGAAGAATTCTTAAAATAAAACCAAACAAATTACATTAATGCAAAAATATCAAGAATTGTTAGGGGTTAATTAAAAGCGTGTTTGTGGATATTAGGGAAAAGCGGGGTTGGTGGGAAAAGGAAAGGGAAGGGCGGCAGATCCTGCGGTAGGTAAAAGCGGGATTGATGAACGACACGTGGCATATTACCAAGGCACGTTAATGACTTAATGTCCTAACAGCATAATTATTAATAATTAATAAAATGGTAGCAATTATTATTCACGGTTTTTATTTGTTTGTACCGCTTTAAACGGGCATCTTATCTCTATTTACTAATTTAGTTTGTTTTTAATTTTTTAAATATTTATATATATATATATTTATTAAAATTACTATTCACTCCTTCCATTAAATATATGTTTTTTAATTCATAAAAAGTATATTTTTAATTAAAATATAAGAAATTCTTACAAAAATTTTTAATTTATAAAAAGACTTTTATTTTATATCATAATCGATTAATATAATACACTCTCCGTCCCCGATATAGTGTCACAGATACTGTAGACACGAAAATATGTATTAGTAAAAAAAATTATAATATAATATAAATTATTATAAATTAATGTTAAGATAACTAATTGGTAATAAAAATTTTAAAATTTGAAATTTGAAATTTTAAAATATAATTAAAATGCATAATATTTTTCCAAGAAAAAGTAACATAAGCTATTAGACGGACGAAAATAAAAAGTATGACGTTATCAGTGGAAGAGAGAGAGAATAGTATATAGAAATTAAGATTCGATGCGTATGTTAAATGAACATTAAAAAAATAACAATAGAATATTTTGTGAGTAATAATTTTTATTTAATATATTAATATAAGGTATCATCGTGATTTTCGAATATTATTGAAAAGTTTGGGTATATTCTTTTAGTACATATATTTTTCTTTGTAATTGGCCTTTTAAAATATTTTATGTGGAATAATTCTTAACTATGATATTTTATATGTGAAATGAGTTGCCAATGCAATATTTTTTTAATATAATTTTTCATTGTAAATTATATAGGGATAAAATTACTATGTAATAAATTGAAATTAAACACACCTTTCATGTTTATAAGTTTATAACAATGTAATATTATTTCATTTCATTTGTATTACATTATATGAGGATTTTATTAGTATCATATATCATGGTAAAAGAAATAAATAAAAAAAAAAATTACTGGGTATATATATATATATGTGCGCGCATACTTAGGGTTAATTTTAATTTGAAATTGACTTAAAATATATTATATTTTTTTTAAAAAAAAATGATCATTTAAATTTGACCCAAGAAATTATTCTTATTATAAGTATATATTATTATTTTTAAATAGAACAATATTGTTTTTATTATTCGAAGTACAAGAATAAATTGGCAAAAATACTTATAACCCACTTAATGTTTGTAAAGTATGCATCATTTTTCTATAATTTTAAAATGTTATAAAATTCTTTTATATTTTTAAAATATTGCATAAAATTCTCTTAAAATAAGAGGATTTTGTAAAATATTTTAAAAATATAAAGAACTTTTGTACAATATTTTGAAAATATAAGATTCTCATGCAGTTTTTTAAAAAAATTGTGTAATATTTTTTAACTAGAATCTTATGCAATTTTAAATCATAAAAATGTACGGCGGAAAATAGGTTCATTTGAAAATAGGTATGTTTCTTTTGTTCAAAATCGCATGTTTTTACTATTTGGATTATGCGTTTTTCGAACTCACAAAACATCTCATCGTACATTATTTTAATATCGAATTCAAATCAAATTTTTTTTTTTTTCCAAACTCATTTAGAGAAACATACCCAATGCTTTGGATATATTGATGGGCCGTAATTCCATTAAATGGGCTACTGAGGAGACTCTTTGGGCCATACGTAAATTCACAGTTTTAGGTATCTTTACTCTTTAGTTTCTATAAATTTATTTAATGCAATTGTAACTTTTTAATACTAATCTATAACATAATTGTATGTCACTTATTCAAATGAATAAAATAACATCAGTATCACTGCACTGAAATGAATTTATTTTTAATAAAAACACATTAATATGTTAAATTAAGTAGCTTCTTTTAATCCATTGAATATATCTGTATTTCTTTTATTTGTACACAAAAATATATATTTTATATTTATAGCATAAATACTTTTATATGATTTTTTTAATTTATATTTGGTGTGTGTAAACATTAGTCTAAGAATCCAAATCGAAATCGAATTTAAAAGCAAAAGTAGTGATGACGACAGCCTCAAAACCAAAACATGTGTCCAACACTGAAACCCCAATAATTATACGGTTTTTTACAAAATTTCAAAATAATAAAAATATTCCGATTTACTCAAAGTCAGTATCCATCCACGTGTCAGAGCACAAGTGGTTGACGTAAAACCACAGAGGTTCTGAACAATCGAGATAAGATAATGGCGGTAGTCCATTCCACGCACGGAAAATAAATTTTAAAAACAATTAATTAATTAATAAAAGTAAAAGTCATCTTCTTCGTCGTCGTCGGAGCTTCTGCTCTGCTCAGCTCAGCTCAGCTCAGCTCGGAGAGAGCTTCCATGGCCATTGCCAATTCTCTCAACTGGTCTCGAGCTTCCACCATCACCTGCAGAGCCAGAGGTCCTCTCCACTCTCAATTCACCACCAAATTCAAATCCAGAATTCCCGTCCCCTTCATCTCCTTCCTCTTCCTCAACTGCACTTCTCGAAGCGTGAGAGCGGATTCCGCCGCCTGTTCGTCTCCGGTTCTGGAGGATACTCCGGCGGTCGATTCCACACCGGTGATCGAGCTCGCTTTGAATCTCGACGAATACGATCAGACCAACGGCCATTTGCCGGACGATTCCGCCGAATTAAATGCCCTAATCCGCAGTCTATTTAGGGATTCAGAAACGCACCATCTCGCTTACGAGTACTACCGCAAGGCGAGAGGGAAAGACCATTTTACACCCGAAAGGTACACTTTAACCCTCGTTGTAAATTACTTGATCCGTACCGCGAACTGGAGCTTGCTGTTCTCGTTAATTGAGGATGTTAGGGTTCTCAAAGTTTTGCCTGATACGGCCGCGTGTTGTAGATTGGTTAGTGTTGCCATTAAAGCTAGGAAATTGAAGCTTGTGAATAGTTTTGTGGATGTTCTTATTCTCCTCTGCAACGACGACATGGACACTGCTGTCTTGCCCATAAACTGTTCGATGAAATGCTGCAACGAACTGCATATGTACAGAACAACAATTGCTTACTACCAAAGGATGAAATCTGCTGGCTTAGATCTCAACTTGTCTTCATATCATCACATAATGAAAGGTTACATGAAATTAGGACAATTTGAGAAAGTAGTTGTCGTTTTCGAAGATCTTGATCGTAAAAAGATAGCTCGAAACGGGCAGGAAGCGACGACATTATACAGTCGAATCTATTGGTTTCTATGTGAATCTTTGGGGAGATTAGGGCGCAATTACGAAGCTCTCGAGTACTTTCGAGAAATGTCGAGGAAAGGAATCCCGGAGAACCATTCACTGTACGCATCTTTGATCGGTTCTTTCACGAGCAGAGGCGATTTGACGATGGCGGAGGAGCTTCTGCAGGAGGCGGAGGGGAAGGAAATGGTGAGAGATCCAGCTCTGTTCTTGAAGCTCGTTCTACGGTACATCAAAGACGGGATCGTGGAGAAGACGCTCGACGTCGTCGCAGTGATGAGACGAGCGAACGTCCGTGTTTCTGACTGCATTTTATGCGCGATCGTCAACAGCGTATCGAAGAAACACGGCTACCGCGGCGCGGCCAAGGTGTACGAGCAGCTAGTGGCGGACGGATGCGAGCCAGGGCAAGTGACGTACGCGTCGATTGTGAACGTCTACACGAGGCTCGGAGCGTACGCAAAGGCGGAGGCGACGTTCTCCGAAATGGAAACAAGGGGGTTCGACAGGTGCGTCGTGGCGTACTCGAGCATGGTGGCGGCGTACGCGAAAATGGGGAGGCCTCGTGACGCGACGCGGCTGATCGCGAAGATGAAGGCGAGGGGGTGCGAGCCGAACGTGTGGACGTACAACGCGATCCTCGACATGCATGGGCGGGCGCAGAATCTGCGGCAGGTGGAGAAGACGTGGAAGGAGATGGAGAGGAGGAGAGTTGCGCCGGATCGGGTGAGCTACACGACGGTGATCGGGGCGTACAATCGGGCGAGGGAGTACGGCGGGTGCGTGAAGTATTACGAGGATTATAAAGGGCGCGGCGGGAAGATCGATCGGGCGATGGCGGGGATAATGGTCGGGGTGATGTCGAAGATGAACAGGGTGGATGGGATAGTAGAGGTGTTGCAGGAGATGAAGATGGAGGGGATGGTGAGGGTGGATGGGAGGTTTTATAGGTCAGCCATGAATGCACTGAGGGAAGCTGGACTTGTGCTTCAGGCAAGATGGATGCAGCAACACTTCAAGATGATTGTCTGAATTCCATTCCAGGTTTGATTTTATTTGATTTGGTTTCATTTATGGTGTTTTTGTGTTTGTGTTTTGGTATTAGGGAATGAACAATGTATATTTCTTGAATAATGATAGATGATGAATGGAACATATTAAGATTTGGTCAAAGATTGAATTTTTGGTATGTTTGTATAGTAGAGAAATTGAAATCAAGATTTTGAAAGATTGCATCTTTTTACCTCTTAATTCTTCACTTTTAAACAAGGGCATGGATTTGCTGATCCGGTCCGGTCTAACATAGTGTAATGTTGATTTGATCGGATTAACGTACATATATTATAAGAGTGAACATCATATATTTATATATTTTTTAATATCGCCTTTAAACATACTTTATTTTATTTTTAACTCGTCAACAATCTTATGGCTTCGTACAAAATAGTTACAAGTTCATAGACAATAATAGTTGCAATGTAATGTATTTGTTTTTTTTTTTTTTAAAAAAATAATAAAATTCATTTTACCTAGAAACATCAAACTTGAACTTGACAAGATATGCTTGGTCGGGTTTGGGTTCGAAAAGATCCATTTGATGGGTTAGGGATTTTAAATTTTAAACTCAATACGGTTCGGGTTAGACGACGTGTTTTTTTAAAGACTCGCTCCAAACTCAAACCCATTCATTTTAATAATGTTTACAATTAAAATTATTTATACAATCGAAATTATAAATTACACAAATTTGGTAACTTCTTAATGGACAATTATTGTTCTTACAAGTTATAATCCCCAACGGGGACCTTGTGATAAAAGAGTACATACCAATAAAATTAAGAGAAATATATTGAGAACATACTTGAATCAAATAAGTTTACCTAGTATAAAAATATTTGATCGAACTTTGGATTCTTGATATCACCTTTATAATGTGATAACTTATCATATCAATCTTTGCTAATTTACATTCTGCTCGGAAACAATAAATAAAAATGTGGAGAACTCATAATTTGATAACACATAAGTATGAAACCGATGACATGGGCATTTTATGATGGTTTAAAATAATGAATTAATTGTCCGTAGGCGATGATCGAGTTGGTATGATGTCTTGGTTGACGACTTCAATGTCAGGAGTTTAAATCTATCGATATCTTTTCGGTTGAGCATGTCACCCAAAATTTGTCTTTATTAATTTTTATAGGGATCAGATTTCCATATTATTGCACTTAAATAAATAATGCCTCAACTCTTTTTCAACAAAGAAAATGGAAAATAACATACAACATATATATTCGAACTTTATAAATGCAAATTATTTTTTATGAAATAAAATTATAGTTCCATGTTATGCTACATATATAATGCATTGGAACTATTGAAAATAATGGTATATTACAAAGCAATAAAACATGAAAAAATCAACCCGAAAACAATCATATATATATATATATATAAAGATACAGTAGTCCCAAAACCCAAATGTCAATAAAATTGGAGAATAATGACAAATAACCATTTCAATTCTCTTCAAAAAGAAATTTTATCATATACAAAAAATTTAAAAAAAAAATTAAAAAAAAAGCCCATATTTGCAACAAAGAAAAGAAAATGAGGTAGCTTTCTCTGACATTGTAATGAAGCCCCAAAATCCCATAAAAAGAAGAAATGTGAGAATATGCGAAAGGCAAACAATAAAGAAAGGAAAATGAGGAAGAAATAAGTGATCCATGGAACTAAAGGAAATGAGTACACAAGAAACCAAAAGTTTTGTTTAGATATGGTTTCGAGAAATCTTTAGATTTTTTAATTCTATGAGAATGATACAGAATTGGGTACATATATAAAAATATTAAGAACTAAATAACTCAAAATATAGAAATACTTCTAAAAAATATTTAAATATATTCTTAATTTCTTTCTACCAAGTTCTTCTCAAAATATTTATTTGCTTCTTTGAAGATTCTCCTTACTATTGAATTTTTTAGCTTGTTCGTTATTATTATTATTTTTTTAATTTACACATACACATTATGTGTGTGGGGATAGAGATATATGATTTATTTTCGGAACAGAGGATTCATGGGCTAAGCATGTCTTTCAATGTATAATAAAGAATTGATTTTTTTTTTTTTTTTTTTTTTTTAAAAAAAAAGAGACAAAATGCTACTTATTGGATCAATTTGAAAGTTCACTTTTTATACATTACATATTTGAAAGATGAAACAAATGAACTTTTTGTAGTTTTGTACTTGGACAAATTAATGCCAAACATACCAAGTTTGATAGATTGGGCTGTTATTATGATTTGTTTTAGGCTATTTTAAACTATATATATATATATATATATATATACATATATTACATTATGTAATTTGATTTTGGCTTGTAAATATAATTAACTTTTACATGGTATCATCGAAATAATATTAGAATTTAACTTAAAGATTTAGCACCACCGTTGAAACAGATCATCATCGTTGCCTCTAAAAACTCTATTTTAACTAAGAACTTTTAATTTTTCTAAAATGTTAATTTGAGTCGATATTTTTACCCAACAAACACCGGATTCCTAATCTTCGTCCATTGTTGAGGTCATCCCCGGTAGTAGATTGCCCATTTGTTGCCACACATGTTGCCACTCTGATCGGATAGTTCCTTTGCTTTGGATGATTTATGATTGGTTTCCGACGCCACTGTCCGTCACGCGCTACACTTGAAGATTCTTGACGCCAAACCACATCTATTATTACCATATACCTATCTTTTATCGCCGCCACACGTGTGACACCGCCTATATATATATATATATATATTTTTTTTTTTTTTTAAAAAAAATATATTAGAAAAATATATTTAATTGATAGTCCGTTTGATTTAATAATAATAATAGAATTGTAATGATATGATTAAGGTATATGTAATATTCAAGTGCATAAAATATATATTGTTATGTATGATAAAAGTATAAAGTTGACAGATTCATTTAAATGAAAAAAAGTAAATATTAAATGAATGTAGAAGATATTTTTTAAAAATTAAAAGATTTGTTATTTTTTCTTTTTAACTTTAAATGATTTATGCAAAGAATATTGAAAATATAATAAACAAAAATACATATTTTCTCCGGCCTCAAGATAATAGATATATAATTTTATTTTATTTTTTTAAAAAATAATATATAATTTTACTTTTTGAAAAATAATATGTTAATTTTTTAGGTAACGTGTAATAGTTATTACTTATAATACTATTTTTTAAATAAAATATGAATTATTTATTTTTGGGTGATAATATAAAAATATATTAAAATTGAGAGTTTATAAATATAAAATGTTTTATAAAACAATATAAAAGGATAATACACAGGAAAAATACTTTTTTCAGAGTAAAATTGAAGTTTATAATTGAAGTACAATTATTGTAAATTAAAATTGTATTTTTACTGTAACTATGACAAAAATAAAATAATAAATTAAAGATACCTTATATTCTTCTTAGAGTTTTGAATTTTATTATTATTATTTTTTTATCTTTTTAATAATAATTTAGATACAATAATTTTTTCAAATAATTTAATTTTATAGAAAAATGATAACAATTGTATAATAATAAAATATAAAACTAGTATATTTGGTTAATTTAGTAAATACTTTGTTCATTACTAAATTTTTTATTTTTCATTTGTCTGTCTAACGTAGAAATTTCTTAATTCTCAACTAAATATGAAAATACATTTTTTTTTAAAAAAAAAATTAATGTTAAATTTTCAAAGTAAAATAGATATTATATTAATTTATTACACACTGCATAAGTATAAAATATTACTTTATCTTAATTCGCGTGCAAAAATTAAACATTAAGAGTAATAAAAATACTTTGAGTTGAATTTAAATTTATTTTGATATGCATTAATACTTTGAGTTGAATTTAAATTTATTTTGATATGTATACATATTAATAGTTAATACTCGGTTCTAAATATATTTTACTCTCAATTTACATTAAAGTTCAAAAGGTTTTAAAATTTTAAAAGAAAATTTAAAAAATAAGTAAAAAATTAATATTATTTTCGTCTCAACTGAAAGGTATTGTTTCTATCATTGTCTGTCCCACTCTAAAGTATATTTTTCTTTTTTAAAAAAATAATTATATACTAATACCAAAATACTCTTAACTTTTAACTAAACTACAAATATATTATTATACGTACAATTACCTTATACATAAAATCAAAGGACAAACATGTCAAAACCTCTTACACATTTAAAATAATTAATAAAAAAACTATTATTTTTTTAATTTACTATAAAACTCCAAAAAGTCCATTTGGAGTTAGACGGAAGAAGTATTTAATTTAATTTTTTATGAAAAGAAAAACAAATTTATATGAGTTTATTTCGAAAGTTAATTGTTGATAAATAGTACTCCCTCCATTCCAATACAATAGTCATGTTTACCATTTTTGTCCGTCTAAAAACAAAAGTCTTATTTTCATAAATAACTTTATCGCAGTAAAATTACCTTTATTTTTCATTATTATTACACAATTGCCACTACTTTTTATACTATGCACTCACAAAGACAAAAAAGTCTTTTACCCATATTTTTTATCCACTGTCGATGTAATATAAATATTCCTTAAATCTCGTGCGAAACACAACCCGAAATATAGTTTTAAAACGGAGAGAGTATCTAGAATTACAAAAGTGTCCTTCTTTAGGTATGTTCACTTATGTTCACTTTTGTGTGTGTATTTTTTATGTGTCGAAATTTTTATATTTGGTACATACATAAAATTATGGCGATAATATAAATATAATAATATGTATATATTATATTCACCATATAAATTGATATATATTTCACCTTTTATGCTATTCTCACCCTTGAAATTTGTTTCTTTCTTTTTTAAATTTTTATAAAATGAATAAGAACAAAATTAGATGAAGAAAATACTATTATCTTCGTATTTTAAATAAATATTCGGTTGTTTTTTGTACGTATATTTTTTAATATTAATATATATAGTATATATTAACAGAAAAATAAAAAAAATAAATTTATTAATTTTATATTACATAAAAAAATAATGATATTTGTTTAATATATTATAAATTGTAATATTAGAAAAATAGTAATATTTTGTTATCGGACACATTAAATAATTCGTTAAGAGATAACGGAAGTAATATTTTTTTAAAAAAATGCCCAAAATAAAAAATAATTTTTTCTTTTCAAAAATAAAA